TTCTGATACAATGTTATGTGCAGAATATTTACACCTGATATTTTTACTTGAACCTGACATGGAAGATTTTTGCCCTTTTATTCATGGTAAGCAGTGTATCTTGCAGGATACTTCTTCATCAATCCAAGGGAGGAGGCTCTTTGCTAAGTACTAGTTAGCTTGTTTCTAGTAGCCAATTCTGTATTTTCGGTCATCTTCAGCTGGAAAATGTTACTTTGCTCTATGCCAGGATTCTTATGGTAGGGAGGATCTGCCAAATGTCTCCCTTTTCACAGGGGGTACTGTCATGCTCTTCTGGATGGCTTATAAGCTCTTTCTGAGTAGCTGAACTGGCTTTTTTGTACTCGGTTTGTTGGGAGGTTTTTGTTTTTTAGTCAAGCCTTCCTTTCACTAACTATTCTCATTGACAGCTTTCAACCTTGGTGGAACAAGCTGTCTCTTTGTCCAGAGCCCTATCTAGTGTCAGAATAGGAAAAAGTGAGAAGCACAACTTGACCATAGTGCACAGAGGATGAGAAGTAAAGGGAAAGTACCAAATTCTAGGTTGTTTAGTTATAGCTAATTACAAATTGAAGTATGCTCACTTTTAAGTATACTAAAGAGCATGCAGATTATTCATTGGAGGAACAAAGTTACCAAAATGGTTGATTTGAGGTGCACACTGCTTTGAAATGATGTGAACCTTCTAAATGTTAGAAGTGAGATGAAATCAACATCTTAATTTTAACTCTCAGGGTTTCTCATGACTTAACACTTAACGTCAAGTATAAATAGGCAAAAATCTGCTTGGACTATTTCTTTTTTTAAAAAATACGAGAAAAGTCCTTTGCACTTTGTCAGTTCTGCCTTTTACAGTTGCAGCTTTTTTGTCGTTTGTAAACTAGCTGTGAAGAGGTAGCCAAATAGCAGTGCATATATATATGTGTGTGTGTATGTATTTGCTAAATTTTTCCTCACACTTAAAAACTGAAAAAAATGTCTAAGATGTCATCAGCCAATTAGGATAAAATGAGAACGTAGGGAAAATGTTTAATGCATGGTAAACAGTGTAACTGAGGAGACTTCAGGTAAGGTAGTAGAGGAAAAACAAACACATGGGAGAGAGGTAGGGGGAGGAAGTGGCTGGAGGATGCCAGATTTCCTATGTTTGGTTCCAGTCAGAAATACCTGTCACTGTGGAGCTGATCACTGAAAAACTGGGGGGAAAGCTGTGACCAGAAGTATGCTTTGGCTTCTCTGCCTCTGCTCCATAAATTAGCTTTGCATTCCTATCCCAAGTCATTGCTAAAATAAGAAGTTATGCATAAGGTGAACTGGTTTTGAACTTACAGGATTGTGAAACCTCAAGTGAGCTTCTTCCCCCATTCCTTTGCATTGGCATCAGAGAGATATCTGTACAGTATTAGAGATAGGGGTTATTTTGCCTTCTCTACTGTAAGAAGCATGATGTGCATCCTGGATGCAAAGTTCAATGTGAAATATATTTGGGGCTGTCAGAATGGCCCTTAGTGAAAAGTCAAAGAAGCTATTCATGGTACATGAGTTAACTGTCAGCAAATAAAGAACCAAATACATATGAAGGAAAACCAAATGCTACTAAAAAGGTGTTATGGAGTTAAAATTGGGAAGCAGATAGACATATGGCCAAAAGATTTTCTGGTTTTCAGACCCCTTTGTAAACTTCTACTGCGTGGTTGTAGAAACCAAACTTAGCTGGTTTTGGTTTGTTTTCTGTTTTGTTTTTTGGGGTTTTTTTTGTTTGTTTGTTTGGTTGGGTTTTTTGTTTTGTTTTTCTGCTTACTATAGTTTAGCTTCTTTTAGGACCTATAATGAGAGAATAATTTTCAGCACATGAGCCCTGTGTTTCTATAGTCTGTGTGTTCTGGTTCTAGTGACCAAGAGATCCCTGAAAGAATCCCATTAGTGCTTGTGGGGCACACAGACCTTTAACTGAGCCCTGCACATTGGTCCAACAGAAGAACATACTGTAGGCTGCTGTTGTTGTTTCAGTATTGTTATTTAGTCTGTTAAAACTATTTGCCCCATACAAAATGAATGGGAATTTTCCCCCCAAGCTCAAACTGCTGCAAAGACACTTTGTTTGGATTGTTTGCCACTTTGGTGAATGTTATTTTCAAAATTTGAAGTGTCAGCAAACGTTTCATTACTAAATGATCCCTCTCTTTAGTAAGTTTTTTTGTTTTGATTTGTTTTTAAAGATTGACTGTAGGAAAACAGATGAGCAAAACTGATCTGCACTGGATGCAAGTCTGTGCATTGTGTGCTGACTGGGGAGAAAAATGCACTTGCTGGCTTGCTAAATTGGGATAATGCTTTGGATGTTGACAGACAGAAAAACAATTAGAGCTGTCGGATGCTTTGCTGACGTGTGCATTGTCACATGGCGAGATGGCTTGCTTTGTGCCAGTGAATCTGAACTGTTCAACTCTCAGCAAGATATTAAGTTAATTAATAAAGTTCCTTATGCCAGGGCTTGGAATGTGAGGTCTGTTTATTTGTGAAGACAGCTATAAACAGTGGAAGTCTCTGATGGGGCCTGATAGGTGTTTTCTCGGTCTGTTATGTTCCAGTGTAGTAAAAGACTTTCTTCTGCTTAGTTTATTGGTACATTAAAACAATGTTACCTGACTGGAGTGTTTCTGTTTGTGCATGGTTGATGCTTGTGCAGATAGTTTTCTTTGAAGTATGTCAGTTTATGTGGGAAAATGTTTATTTAAACTCTGACTTCTTTGGGTTTGCAAGTGCTTGCTAATGTCTTGAAAGACTCTTCTATATGTATTGCTATTCTTAAAAGCTATCACTTTTGTGTTGGTTAATTATACAAGCTGGTTTTACTTGTATGTTTGATCTTATTAATGTTTGTTTTGTTTTCTTAATGGGTACATCTGGACAGGGGTTTCGGGGTGCGTGCTGGACTGACTTTACAGCAGGCTTGCTTAGTTCTTCTCCACTAAAGAGTGTGTTGTCAATGTGGTCTGACCCCTCTGGCTCTAATGGGCTCTGAGGTGTGTTGTGCTGACTGCCACAGCTTGTCAGGTGAAGATGAGTGTGTCTTCTGGATCATGTGTCGATATTTGTCAGCTGCAGAATGAAGTATTTGGTTGTGGTGGGACATAATCTTTCCAGCTAGCTTGAGGACTGCACTAGTACATCTTTTTGATGCAGAAAGAGATGTTCGCTACATCAGAAGAAAGCAGCTCTGATTAAACTGTATAAAACATGTACTAAATATTTGCTTCCTGAGCTTTTCCTGCACCATTTCTGCTGCCACGTGCAGTTCTGCTAAATCCATCAGCATCATCAGATTCCATGTTTCTTGTGTAACCCTACCCTGCATGTCTTTACTAATCTCCTCTCAATAAGATTCAAATTAATTTTACTCTATTCCTGTGTTATCCATTTTTCTAGTACTTAATTCTTAAAAAATATTATCTTTACTTGTATCACTTTATCCATATTAAATGACCTGAATGCATGAGCTTCCTTTATTGTACTATCATGGTTTATTTTTCCCCATCTTCTTAAATAACCCTAATTAGATTTTGGGTTTGGTTTTTTGATGGTATTTTTTGTTGTGGTGGTGTTTTTATGTTTGATGTGGGATGCTTTGTTTGACTTTTTTTTTTATTTGGGTTTTTTTAATTTAAAAAAATCACCATTATTGGTGGTTCTGATTTGGAGTGGTATTTTAAAAATTATTCTTAAGATAATCCTTCTTGGAGTTGTTACTCTGAAATTTTTGAAATTCAGCATTACAGCAGTTCCAGGTAGAAATTAACTCTTGTGAGCCATGATGCCAGTGGATCTGTTTATGCAGACGAAAAGCAAAACCACTAGATCAGTAATTAATCTAGAAGTTAACACTAGATAAACCTTGAGCAACTCGACTGTTGGTACCATGACAGCAGAGGGCAAATGGCTGATTGCTGAGTCCTAACCTAACTCCCTAGGTTTCTAATTCTATTTCTGTGCTTCCGTGTTTTGTTTTTTTGTTTTTTTTTTTCCTGGCATTTATGTATGGAAATGGATTTTTTTGACTTATGGGATTTTTGTTTTAGAAAAAAGCAACTCTCTGAACATTTTTCCATTTACAAAAGTTAGGAAATGTCTTTTTAAAAATGAAGCTGAGAGTTAGTTTGTCATATTAACTGGTACGACTTTACTGTTATTTCAGCAAAAGCAGTAGAACCATGCTCCAAAGTGAGAACTGACTAGGTGGTATGGCTTGCTTTTTTGTTTTAGTAGCATTGCAGTGCCTGTGGAAAAACACAAGATGACACTTCAGACAAAGTCTGTTTCCTTACAGAACCAGCAATGTCAGCAGGGGTTAAACCACCTTAGTGACGCTTTCCCTAATGCACTCCCTTGTTTTAGGGAGAGCAAGAAGCAATCTTCTTGCTTCCTTTCTGGATTTTCTAGCTTTGGTACTAAATGTACAGGTTTGGTGGGACTGTGAGCCTTCATCTGCTTCTGTATGGAGATAAGGTTGGACTTTCATGGATGGCTGCAAATAAAAATACTTCTCCCTCATTTTGCTGCGCCATCACCTGCTAGAAATTATTGAGCAAACACTTGAAGCATCTATAACCTTGAGACATCCAGGCAGTATATAAAGGGCACCTGTAACTGGAAATGGTTACAAGTTTACTCTGGAGTTGTTTGTTTAATGCTATTTCTCTTGGTGCTCTTTTGTAATAACTTTTAATATTTTAGGAAAGCAACTGTAATGAAACTTATGATCTGTCTACAGAATGGGTAGGCATTGCTAAAGCAAGGGATGCTTGAGTCATGTTGCCTCTTCTACCCAACAGACATTAAGGTGAATTTGTTGACTTTTAAAAAAGAGAATGCCTCACTATAAACAACAGGATTTTTGTCTCTTCTAGCTGCTGAGAGAAGTCTGCTGTGTTGTCTCCAGTATAGCTGCAAGTATGACTTGACTGACTTGCATTCATGGCTCTTGGATGATCTGGTGAACCATGGAGCTCAAAGTATGGGTGGATGGAGTCCAGAGAATTGTGTGTGGTGTCACCGAAGTCACAACGTGCCAGGAAGTTGTAATAGCCCTTGCTCAGGCTATTGGTAAGTAAATCTGTCAGCTGGGTGTCTGGGAACTGGGGTGAAGCTTCTTCTGTGAAGCTAAACCAAGGTGAGGTGGGATTGCATCAAATGTCAGCAGAGCATGAACATGTAATGCACAGAGGGATAACCCTGCAGTGTAAACTTGCAGCCTTTGATTTTTCACCTGCCAGAGAAAGATTAAAAAGAAAGAAAAGAAACACTTGGAAATCTATACACTTTCGTTCAGTGCAAATTTATTCTCTAATAATGTGCTGCCCGTTGTCATTGTAAATACAGCGTGGACTAAAGATGGTGCTTAACTGTCACTGCTTTGAGTACCAAAGAAATATAAAAGCAGTGCAAAATAATTGTTTGCCTTTCACAAGCTAATGATGTTCATTGAAATTATACATGTTGCCAGTATCTCTAGCTATATTTGGAATAGTATAAATCAATGAAATAGATTCTTCAAGTTCTCTTCTTGCTCCTACAGTCCACATAACTCAATACTAATGAAAGGGTAACTTGAAGTCTGTTCACTGTTAGCTATTTGCTAAACATTTTGGTGGGGGAAAAGAAAATAACCTTTCACACTCCACTACAAGAACGAACATTCCTGCAGTCTTGTCAGATCTTTCTCAGTGATTGAGAGTATCCTGAATAAGCCTCAACTTCATCCGTTCAGTGCTTCTTAAGCTGAATCTTATTCTTTGCTAATATTTTATAATTGGCTTTACATACTATTTAAATTTAGGCATTAAAACCTATGTCTGACCTAAATTGAATTAACACTTTTAATAGTTAGCTTTTGCATTTGTCAGTATTTTAACAGTTTTGCAAGATTTTATTAGCAGTCTAACTTGATTCCAAAATAAAAATTTTCTAATAAAAAAACAACTTAGGGACATGACTATCAACGAGATATTCTACCTATAAATGTGAAGTAAATTTCTCTGAATTTCTGTGATGTTTGTTTATTTAAATATTTACTTCAGAACATCCTTTCCATATACTTTCATCTGCTGAATTAGAAGACTGGCACTTTTTAAATGTTATATCTTAAGGGGATTGAACACAGCGCTAGCACGTGTAGATTCTATCTAAACACATCAAATACCTTTTAAAGTTTTGTTCTAAAATGGTAGACAGTGTGTCTCTAAAATCTTGTATTCAGTGGTTAATGGTTAAGTGTGGTTTTGTGTTAGTTGCAGCTTTTCATTTCATGCTAATTAGTTTATGAATTGCTTGCTTCCGTATCTCATTTTCTGCCTATACATTTTTTAAATACAATTATACTAGCATGATAGGAAATACTGAGGAGTAGGATAGGAGATACTGAGGAGTATTACATATTTGAAAAAAATAATAAATAATTTGGTGGGGATGACTTATTTATTTGCTTTCCTGTCTCTTTCATCCTGTTTCCTTTGCCTCCTCCAAAACAAAAAATGTCAGACTCCCAGTTCTACACAATAATTTAATTATCTCCTGTGTAATTCCTATGTTTTCTTCTGTATCCTCAGTTATTAGCCTGAACTCTGAAAAGACTCCATGAGCCTTGGAAATGGACACAGTTTTTGTCAACTCAGCAGACTTCCTATTCTATAACACATCACCAGTTCATCTGGGGCATGTGACTCAGGCTTCATGCGGAGATAAATTTCAGTTGCAACCAGTGCCAAATTGAGATAAAACCTTTGGAAGCTCCTTCCTGAGGCAGATATCTTCTCTAGAAAACACCTAGGTGATTGTGCTCCAGTTTCTCACTGGGGCTGCTAGGACAATATTAAACACCATATAAATTACACTTGTGTGCCTTTGGCAGATGGGGCTTTCCCAACCTCCCTGTCAGGCCATTCATCAGAAGTGCAACCATATGTCTGCTCCTTTGGTTTGGCTATATATAGGTATCAGCTTACCAGGAATATTTGTCCCTCAAATTTGAATGGGAATCTATTCAAATGTATCCCTCTAGCTCTCACCTGACATTTGGTGGTGGAAAGTAGCCAGTCTCAGCTGGCTTTCCTCCTTGTTTGGCTCTGATCTTATTTTCCACTTTGCAGCTTGGCTCCTTCAGCAGTCGCATAGCTTAGCAGGACTCAACATTATTTTGTCTGTCTGTTGGTCTGTCTGCAAAGTTTTTGAGATGCCTCTTGTTTTATTGTGTCTTTCAGCTTATTGCTAGGTTATTGATTTAAAAAAATACAACACACATACCACCCAAAACGCATCCTTCTTCACTGAACCTGGAGTATGAACTGCAATGTGTATACTATTAGTGTTGAAGTGCAACATCTGGAGTATCTGCAAATTAACTTACTCTGCAACTGTATCCGCTGGAGAAAGCACAAGTCAAAGATACTTATACCCTTTTAAGACATCAATAGTTCAGGAAGCTTCTAATGGACAAACTGAAGCTGTCTGTACTCTAGACATATGAAAAGTAAAGCTTTACAATATATTTCAAAAACAGGAAAATGAAAAGTATTGTGGAATGGGTTGTGGTTGGAAGTCACCTCTGAACATCATCTAATCCATTTCTGCTGTTTAAAGCAGGGCCAGCTACAGCAGGTTGCTCAGGACCATGTTCAACCAGGTTTGGAATGTGGCTGGGGACAGAGACTCCACTGCCTCTCTGAGCAACCTGTTCTGGTGTTCAGTCACTCCTGCAGTAGAGAGTTTCTCCCTGCATCCTTCCCCACCTCACATGTTTAAATGGAATTTCTTGTATTTCAAGAAATACTTGATCAAATGCAGAAGCTACATTTACTGATCTCCTGCTGTGATAAGAGCAGCAAAAAGGTTTTTGTTTATTTTATTTCCAACTCTCTCTTGGGTTGTGGAAATTCAGTAGTAACTTTCTTCAGGACACAAAATAATTAGTCCTTATTTAGGCAGAGACAGGAGGACTGAAATTATAAATAGGTAGGGCTATTTTAGCCAGGCTATCCCTCTTTGTAGGAGGTTCTGTCCCATACCCAAATCCTTTGGTAGGGGGGTAGCCTACCCAAAGGTAGTCTAATCCTTTGTTAGGGGATTGCTGTCACTTAACTTGCCTGGCTATTGCTCCTTGACCTATTCCTTAGAAATTGGTACCTGCCACAAATAATCTTTCAGAAGAGGCCTGCATGTTTCTTCCTTTGAGGCTGTGCTTCTGACAAATAATTTGTTACCTGTTCTTATGTTATGGTCATCTTCCCCTGTTGCCCATCTCTTGATCCTTGAGGAGTTGAAAATTATTCTACTCTTAAGTTTCTGTCCAAATCATTTTTTTAAATTTCTATTTGGCTTGAAGTTGAAGCGTTTTAATTAAATCTCAAATAAAACTAATTATTTAAAACAAAAAAGAGAAGGGAGAGTTGTCTCCTTTGGTGATCTCAGCAAAGCTTATACATGTATAAATATATGTATATAATGTAATTAATGTGAGAGAGCATGATACCAATTGCATATAATTTTGCATATTCTTAATTGATTGTCTCTCTAACTTAGAAGCAGTTAGAAATGCTTTAACTGGAGGGAGGGTCTCTGGAACTCTGTTCAAGCCAGACATAAAACTATACAGTTAAAAGTTTCCAGAGAGTGAAATCACCTCCCACTGGGATCTTGAAGAACACTTGATATTAACCTTTTGTTAGTTTTATCCAGGGCTGTTTCTCCTTCTTTTTTTTTTTTTTCTTCTTTTTCTTTTTTAAACTCAAGCTGCTTGCAAATTACAAAGAAAAGTTTAGCCTTTGAATACAAATAAGAGAAGTGATTGTTTCATTACGAGAAACTAAGCCCTCACCAAAATGTAAAAATACACCACAGCACAGTTAAAATTGAGACAATCAGTCTTGTATTAAAAATATTTTTGCCAGGAGAGATGAGCTAGATTTAATCACATCCATGGTTGTCTGTTTTCAAAATATACTCTTGACAGCAAATTCTGCCTTTTCTTCTGCTTCCACTAGCTTTTCTTTGTGTTCTGTGAAAATCATGCCAGAGTGGCTTCACATAAATAGAATTTGGGCAACTGAAAAACAAGTTAAAAGAAGGTTATTAATACTTTTCAGCTGCATGTATGATGAGATGATTGGGGAATCCCATCAGGGGTCTGTTTTGCAGAGTAGGATATGGACACAGGTGTGTCTGAGCATAGTGGGCCCTTCTCAAAAAGGCATAGTAATACTGAGGGGAAAAACAAATTTAAAAGGTGAACTAATCATATTGGCTGATATCTTAGGCAAGTGTAGTTTAACTACAGAAGTTGTATTTTTTTTTTTTTTTACTGGCTTTTACTGGTTGTTTTCCATTATATTAAAAAAATATCTTCCCAAGGGATATGGTGACTAATACCTCAGTCACAAATATACTTGCCCTATTTCTTCAGAACTGTTCTTCCCCCAGTTCCAGCCCCTGTGAGGATTTTCACTGCATTTGTTGGGATTTCTTTTTCCTCTGGAGACCAGAGTGCATCTTCTGCACTCAAAATGACATGTTTCTTTCCTAGAAAGAGAGTATTTTAGCCTATAGAAGTGAAGCTTGAATCTCTTAACAAAGTGCACTTTCATTTGCCTTCTCCATAATTTTTTGTGGCAAATAATTAAAATGGCACAATGGCAGACTGGCTTTAAATAGTGCTGTGCCTTGGGGTTTTCTGACTGTAGCACAGTATCAGGAGAATGTGAGTGACACTTTACTGAACAGGAGGAAGTACAGCTCTCTCTTTAAAATCAAACAAATGCAGCTGTCCAGTCTGGGTATTTTATCTCAAAGATAAATGGGGTGTATTTTTGAAAATAAAGCACAGATTTGTTCCAAAGTGTTATAGCATTGTAAGGCTCAGCCAGAGTTGTATCTGGAAAAATCACACCACTTCATTGTTGTCTCATGTGCTCATCCCTTCCTCCAAATAATTTCTTCAAAAGCAAATGCAAGAACTGGCTGTCAGACACTTTTACAAAGAAAAGAATCTAAGGTTGAATTGAATCTGAAGAAGATCAGAAAACATCAACAATATTTGCAGTGTACAAACTAAAGTTTTTAAACATTGAATTAATCATGTAGTTTACTCCTAAGAATCTATGAAAACTTGTGTTATTTTTGACCCCCAAATTGAATTCTATGCTGCTTCGAGTAGCAACATTAAAAGGAATAAGAAGTACAAGAAAGCTGTGAATGGTGTTGATCCCATGGTGCGATGGAGAAAACCTTATGGTTCAGAAGTCTAGTGGCAATAACCTTGCTGAAAGGCACAGTGGTTGGGTAAAGTGATTAGTTGCTGCCTTTAATGATGTGGTGTGTCTAGTGTAGCAGTGGCACGTGCAGCAGAGACCTGGGCTGCTTGGTCTGCTTTGCCACCTCTTGCTGTTTGGTCGCAGCCAAACTGCTCCTCTGCATTGTTTTACCTATTTAGGAAACAGGCCTAAAATATGTGTGGTACCTCTTGAGTGCTTAGTCAAAAGGCAGCTGAAAGGATGAAATTCCTGTAAGCACTTTGTTTTGTCAGATTATGATAAACTCTTGTGTACCCTTTTTTCAAGCCGAAGGATAATAGTAATAAACTAAGACTTCAGTCTGATAAAGACATGTAATCCTATTGTGAGCACAGCTGTACCTAGTGAACTGAGCAACCCATCCTCACTGCTGTTAGACTTGAGCCTCTACATCTCTGTGGGCATGTTTTCTGGGAAGTGGTCTGCTCCTTGGATTTTCAGCTTTCTGTGGTGTGCACACGTGTGTGTGTATAGCGTGGCATAAGTTAAAAACTCTGAATAATACGAACTCCAACCTGTCTTCTAAAGGGTTTTTTTACTCTTCATCTTTCCTGTGTATTTAATCAGTTCTCAGGTAGCTAGAATGTTATTTCTTTAAATTGCTATGGGTATTAAGTATCACACAATGAATTAAATGCCAGCTTCATATTTCACAGGTATTGAGTTCAAATCTTACTGGGTTTATTAAAATTGCCAGCAATTACTTTTCTATCAGTGCTGTTCAAGGTGCAGGAGTTAATGCTGTTGCCCCTTTGGTAAGAGCATTTTCTTCCATGTGCTTCACATGTTAAGAGATCTTACAAGATTTTACTCACATAAAATTGTGTTTTTCTTTATATTGTCTTGTTAAGGAAGACAGCATCCTTTAGCCTAGGGCTGGAGGACTGTGTCCCCTGAGCACTGGGCTGTCTGGGTTTGGCTTGAGCATGTGTTGGCATACCTGGCTTTACTTCCATGAAAGCTGTGCACAGACAAGGGACATTATCTCACTATACACTGTTGTGTATCTGGGATGCTAATTCAGATTTAGCTGAAGAGAAAGTCTAGAACGGATTCCTTTTTAGTTTGGCTGTCTTAAAACTTTTAAGACATAAGTTCATAGAATGGTTTGGGTTGGAAGGGGGCTTTAAAAGTCATCTAGTCCAACCCTCCCACAGTGAGCAGGGACATCTTCAGCTAGGTCAGGTTGCTTGGAGTCCTGTCCAACCTGACCTTGAATATTTTCAGGGATGGGGCTTCTACCACCTCTCTGGGCAACCTGTTCCAGTGTTGCCTTTTCTGTTTTCAGATTCTCTCCAGAGTGCCACCTTGCAGGGAAGGTTTTTGGCACAGCTGCTGTGCAGCAGCAGAGGTGGTGGACTCCCTGGCAAAAATGGGAGCTAGAGTGTGCCTGCTAGGCAACTTCCCTGGCACCAAGTGCACCCTATCAGTCCTGGGGGCAGAGGAGAAACTGGGAGCAAGACTGCGTGACCTCTAGTGACAAAGGGCTGCTCTTGCCCACCCTAGCCTCTTCCCTAGGGAAGAGGAGGTGTCCCCATGTCCAAGCCTCCTCATCTAGCCACCTTTTCTAGAAATGAGTCCCCAGCAGTGACTCACCTGCTAGCTCTGACTCACTGCTGCTCGTCCTGGCTGTGAAGCATAGGAGATACTTAATGAAAAGCTGGGTCTTACTTGGTGCTTGAAATAGTTTTGTAGCCTGACTAGAAAGATGAGGCACAGATACATTTTTACGTCGTGCATCGTGCTACCTGCATACAAAAAAAATGTAGTGCCTGTCCCTAAAATGCTTTGCATGTAGAAGATGATGCAGTTTTGGGAGGGAGAAAAGGGATTAATGGTTTCTGTCCAGAAAAACAGTATTGATGACTTCTCAAGACACAGTCCCACCAAAAGTGTTTTATGAGAAGCACTGTTACTGCTGCTTTCCTTCAGAGTTTCATTTTTGTTTTTGGCAGAAGGTATAGTCACTCATGTCTACTGTGTCAGCTGCAAATATTAAAGCATATAGAGAGGTGATTAATAGTTATATGGGTCCTACTGCCTTCATAGAATGTAATTTAAAAGTCCACCTCTTGAGATTTAAAAAAAAAAAAGTTCAATTACCATGCTTCTGTATTTCATTAGTTTAATCACTATTCATTGTAATGGAATTTGTGTTTAAATTACCAAATTACATCAATCCCGAACTAAGACTGTATTGGTTGGGCACCATGACATGGGCAGTCAGGTCCAGAGCCTGGTGTCGGGCTGCAGAGCTGAGCAGTTGGCTGATGCAGGGTATTGGCTGCAGGTAGCTCTTTAATGTCTTGTTGGTTAAGTCACAGCAGAGTAAGGTTCAAGCTGCTTGTGATAGCTAGTTGCAGGCTATCAGAACATCAGCATTCTGGAGCTTATCTGTTTCCTTTTTTTGATCTCTTTCAAAATTAACTATTTTGCTGAAGATGTTGCTGTTCTAATAGAACCTGTGATAAGTTTGTCTGCTTAGGTAGCTGCAGGTTGTTAACCATGCCACTGGCCCTTTGTGCAGATGCAGTGTGCTTTATAGATGCAAATACATACCTCCTTCTGGTGTATCTTGTCATTCACTGTCTTGCAAAACAGATGAAAACTACTGATTATTGTTTTGAGATGGTAATATTATAATATGGTCCATATGGGGGACCATTGTGTAGTCAGTGGGTCAGCACAACATCAATGAGGAGCTGGCCTGTCAACGGTGTGTAGAGGCTCTGAGCTTTTTCGATCTCCTGAATGGCTGTTTTCTGAAGAGGGAACCAGAGAACACAGCACTGCTGGTGCTTGTTTCGGGCTGTCTGGATTTTTTTCTTTACCATTCTCATTAGTACAAGACTTTGATAGAATATTAAATAAACCCAAAACTGGTATAATGCGTTCTAGTTGTACATGATCTTAAATAAAAGTTTTATTTCAGAAGTTGTGAGGAACCCACTGACAAGCTATTGTGAACATCAGTGCATTAACTAAAGCTATGCTTTGCCAGCTCCTGGAATTGACTGCTTTAACTTCTCATCTGAGTCTACATGGAAATATTTCATAAATCTGCATGAGATACAATGTGTTCAATATGCAGCTGAGAAAAACCCCACTATGGTTTAATGAATGCCATACATTGCTGACATGTGGTCCACTACATGAATACAACAGTAACTAATTTTTTAAATTATAAGGTTTGCACAAATGAAGTAGGACTCAGTTCTGCCAGGTGCTGTACAAGCACAAACAATTTCTATTTCAGAAAGCTATGGACAACATAAAAGACAAGAAGCGTCATGCAGGTGTTGAACTGTTCTTTGTCAACAACCCAAGCAACCTGCTTTCTTGTTGTCAGTGGTAGGACATCAAAACCAGCAGTTTGTTACAAGGACACCTGTGTTCTGAAATACTGTCTTTAATTTTGAATTAACTCGCTCAGCCTTTCATTTGTGAATTAATCCCTTCTAATGCAAGTAAACATCACAGTTGTGGTTCTCCAGGTATTGTTAATCTGCATCATACATAGGCTGAATACAGTAAATGTAGGTGATGAGAACAGCTTTGTTTCAGACTGGTACTGAGCTCCAGGTGTGGTTGTTGAACTGTGTATTACTTCTACAAAACACTTTCTTTTATGTGGATTTTGAGTGCTGAGTTCATTATTTAGGGCTGCATGTTGATTTGGACTCCTAAGCTAAGATGGAAATAGTTCTTGGCAAGCACCTTGCTTAATTCCTTAATTCACTTTTGGTCGAGATTGTTAGCTTTATTCCACTCCCCCTTTTTCTTTCTTTTTTCCCCCCACCTCTTGTTAACAGTTCTTTTAAGTAGTGCATTTAATAGTAAAGTGAATAGAAATTACATGCTGATCACTTCCCTAGTGGCACATACGCTTGCTTACGATTTCAGGACTTCTTTGAACTTGGCAGCTTCTGATATAACAAGAACATGAGTAGTATTATCATGGTGAGAAGCTGAAAGCTTTTAAGATTAGCAAAATAGAGTGGTAAAGTGCAACCTTTATCCTGGGTTCTGCAGTATGTTTTTACTTAATTTTTCTTCTCTAGGGCTTTATTGTTAGTATGCTATGACAAACAGCACTACGTTTATTTTTCCTATAATAATACCAATGCCTACTACAAACTATAAATCTTCATGGATCAATGAACAATGTTGTGGGTTGGCAAAAATCTCTGACTTTGTATCTTGGTGTAGTAAACTTGTTTTTGAAGCACTTTTTTGGAATAAATTTGAAATCTGTTTCTGAGACTGCTGGCCTTGCATCATGGTATGCAGATAGATTTTTTTATTTTTTCCTCCCCCCCCCAATGCTTACCTTAAGTAATTTATTTGTTAGGCATTTGGAGGGATGGACTGTTGTTCCCATGCTGCTTGCCTTGTTTTGCTGACTTCTGGCAGTCAAATCTTCATGTACTCTTCCAGCTCTGACTCCTAACTTGGAAGCGAACATGGACATTTTGGTCTCTTGTTTGGCCTGCTAACTACCACCAGTTTAACCCATGAGCCAAAGCAGCCTGTTTTCCAGGCAGTGCCTGTGCAGCTGATTGTCGTTGTTGTTATTCTTTGCATTGTGAGCTAGTTGTGAGAAAGTGAGATCAGAGGAACCTTTTTTAACACAGTATCTCTATCTGGGGGAGCTCTTTGTAAGGCTGTCTGACAATATTAGATTTTAGGGGCCCAAAGAGTGTGTTAATGACCACAGTGGAGCTTGTCTCCTACAAATCTGAGGTGGGGATTCCGTGTGAGTGTTGTGATTGGAGGCTGTAGGCAGATCTCCAGCCTGAGATTAGGATGTTTTTGTTCTTTTGGAAGTAGTGCAGTGGTTGGGCTGGTGGTGAAAGGAAAGAAAATTCATCAAAGGGGTTACCACTGATATCTACCTTTATTCCCACTCCCCCACTCCATAGCTGCATATATGACAGGTATTTTAGGTATTTATGTGCTGAAATAAATCTTCATTTGAATGATGACCTATCATGGAGATGGATATACGTAATGCATTAGAGTAGCTAATGATGTTTTTAAGGTTAATGGCAATAGTGGAGCTGTTCAGAAATCTGTCAGGATCACATGCTTTAAAAGCAGTTGATCTTTCACATCTTCTTGTGAACTATGTTGTGGGTTTTAAGTGAATTGACTCTCAAGATACGGGCATCTCTTCTGCATTTGGAAAATGCTGTGTCTCTGAGAGACAGAAAGAGAGTTCAGAAAAAAAAATGGAATTAGTGGAAAGCCTCAAATGCTGCATTTTTGTGTAGCATCCCATAAGGGGACTCGGAGGAAAAAGACTGCTACGTTGAATGGAAGTATGTTTGGTAGCAGCACAAAAGAAGTTGTATAGACTGAAGTTGTACTTCTCCCCCTACCCTTCAAGTAATCCATCCTGCATTAGTGGTGCATCTGGCTGGCAATCAGGAAACATCCCGACAGTTCTTGTGGGATCCGAGCCGCTTCCTGAAGGCTGTGCAGCCCCGGGGAGCTCGGGAGCTGCTGCTACAGATGAGGAGTCGGTGCAGGGAGCCCGAGGCTTGGGCAGCCCCTGCTGGGCTCCGGGAACGGTGAGGAGCGGGTGTGATGGCCCCGCGCCCCTTTCCCGGTGTCGGGACTGAGCGGGGGGCACCGGCTGGGGAACTGCGGCTCAGCCCGTCGCTCAGTTGTCTCTCTCATTGATGATGCCGCTTAAAAGCAAACACATTGTCTCCCAGGGTTTTGTTTTGTTGTTTTAATGTGGCGGTATGAACCCTGTGGAGCTCTTTCTGTGCTCGTTTTCTTCCTCTGGAGATGCAGGTTTGATGCATTTTTTGCTGGATGCCACATTCGCCGGGCCACTTGCTTTTTAGCTGCCGTGATTTCAGACAGGAAAGGAGCCCCGGCCGGAGCTGTGCGGTTTCACCTGCTTGTTCGGTCACTGCTCTGTGCGGGGAGGGTTTTCCTGAGGTCCTTTGCAGGCGAATTAAATAAATACCGGGCAGACGCTGTGCTTGCTCCCTCAGCGAATGAAGGAGCCTTGAGGAGCGGTCGGAGGCTGCTCCGCCTGCCAGAGGGCAGTGCAGACACCTCTGCGCTGGCGATGCAGAGCAGCGCGCTGCTC